CATTAGGTATTAGGTGAGGAAGTTATTTTTGGAAATTGTTAAATTAAATTATGACTAGTGACTAATCATAAGTATAATTGTTATTTCTCTAAATTTGAATAGAATAATAATAGTTTATTGTTTTGTAAGTGGGTCATATATATTGATAACAATAATAGTATATTGTTATCATTATATTCGTTAGTCCTATTTGGAAAATATTGTACAATAAATTTTTTAGCATGCTATGCCTATAGCTTCTTGTAATTAACTTTTTTATTTATTTTACAAGTACACCATAGAAACTTATCATTCTTTCACAAGTTGGCATGTGATCATTTTCTACGTTCTCTTTTGCAAAAACTAATTCACTTGCCATTCACCATTAAGAGAATGCATTATGACATAACGAATCTTGATAGATATGACAACCTTCTTAAAATGTGACTTTTTACAATTAAGCCATTAACCTTTTAATACTATGTATTTAGATAAACAATAAATATTTACCAACAAGATCCACACATTTTTTTTTTTTACATTAATTGCTTTATATAAATGAGGCAAAACATTCTTTTTTTTTTTAACAGCTAAAATTTCACGATTTTAACTTTTAAATTTAAGCTTTATTTTTTAATCCTTTATTTATCTTCTTCTTAAATTTCATTTATATACTAAAAATTAATTTGCAAGGATTTATTTATCTATTGTATTTACTTTATCACACTTATAAATGTAGAAATCTAATTTTGACAAATTATATAGATGGAATATTTATTAATACAATAATAGATCAAAATTTGGCATGTATAAGTTGTATAAATATAAGCTAATAATATCCCATAGATCATAGCCCAATTAGATAGAATTTTTATACATCTAACCAATGTTATCAATACTGTACCGACATACATACATGTCGATTTTGCTACTGAAACGGTACATACTGGATACTAGAATTTTTTGCATATCATTTCAAATTTATTGCTATAAATATATATTTTTATAAATTAAATATCAAATTTTAAAATAATTATAAGAGAAACTAAAGTAATTGGGGACAAGATTTGGGAAAACCTTTTTAGTTGGTAACAATATCTTCTTTCTTCAACTATTAACCTAAACCCCATAATAACCCAAGCAAAGATCCTTTGGATGATTTAAGTTAAAGACATTAAGATGATGATAATCACTAAACAAATAATAACAAATATGTTCAATTTAGAAAGCTAAAATATTCAATGATGAAAAGCCTGCTTTCTATCTTTGAAGCACATTGCATCAAATTTCCATTAGTTAGTAGTTACCCATGTGAGCTAGAAAAAAAAGAAAAGAAAAGAAAAGGCAATGGTCATTCATATTACAATCATAGAAACAAACACCCAAACGGGTTCATCACAGGGATTTTTCAATTGTTTCTACTAAAGGACAATTATGAATAAACAACAAAAGTAACATTATTAATTATCTTGGAAAATGCTTGCAAATTGAAAATTGCAGAAAAATAGAAAAGGAAGAACAATCATCTACTGCCAAACACATACACAATTGCTCACTGTCACTGGTCAAACCCTTAAGAATTTGAAATTCTAAAGCGAAAAACAAAAGGAAGAACAATTAAGAATTTCACTCATACCTGAGAGATGGAGCTAGGCTGTTGGAGAATGGTAAATAGGTACACGAATCACTCTCCAAGATCTAGGGCTTGTGAAACAAGAAATTGAAAAAGAAAGCAGTGGCAGCGAAGCATTCACTAGCCCATTGACGACAAGTCAAGGACAAGGTTCATGAGGAAAGAGGAGAACAGAGATTTGCAATATGAAATTGTAGGGTTAACTAAAAAGCGATGTGTTGGTTAGGGGAATCCTTTTTTTTTTTTTTTAGTTTGGACATAAAGTGTACCAGTCAAATTTCGCTGTACCGGTTGGTACACTAAATCTCAATCAGTACATCACAATTTGATCAAAATTTCTGAAATTTGACCGAAATGGAATTTAAGCTTATACCATTTTGGTTAAATTGAAAACCTGATACGTATCGACTGTACCAATTAGTATGAAACAATACCGAGAACATTGCACCTAACTTTAAATTTGCATGCTTGACTAATAAAGATTTGTTGGCTAAAAACAAAAAATTAACAAGGATTTAAATTTTTTGTTTTTATTAAAAATAATTTAAAATCCTAACACATTATTTAAGTACAATTCCTAATTATATTTTTGTACTTATACACTTGCAAAACGTCTCTTTGGATATCAATAGATTATGTGCTATATTTATAAAAGGATTTAGTGATTCTTGCTTAGGAATGGGCCTAACAAGTGATGGGTATTGCATAACCCATACTCTTATTAGGGTAATTCAATTGAATTATATATTGCCTTGGATTAAGAGGTAATTCATCTTGGTAATTTTTTATCTATTGCATTTTAAATTTTTTTAATCAATTTTATATTTATAAACTTAGAAGTTAATTTGCCCTTAACTACCCTATGGGTAGAAAAGTTTTTCCAATGCTCTGCCCTAAAACAAGTAAAATACATGAATACCTATTTGGTGTGGGTAAAATTGTCATCCCTATTCCTGCTTGGCTTGCTCCTGATTATGATAGATTTTATTTTGTTTTCCATATTATGAAATAAGAACCAAGTTAGTCTAGTTTCTTAGGCTCATCTTAAATTCTTGATGAAGTAGCTTTCTCGTTCATTAGTTAAATAAATTAAAATCAAACAAAAGCCAAAACGTAATCATTTTATGATAAATTGAAGGTGACTATCCTCTTTTTCTAGGCTATGTTTTGAACACTATTAGATTGAGTGTATAAGTAATTATGTGTTCTTTGCTTAGGTTTCTTTTATCCTATCGAATACCTTATGATGGCTAAATGATGATTGAATTTATTGAACAAAATATAGACTATAGCTTATACCTAACATAAAAATTAGGTTGAAGATGCAACACTATATTGCCATGTGTATACACAAACAATTGGGTTTTATCAATTTTTAACATCATTTTAATAGATTACATTATTTAACTTTTTTTTACAAGTGATGTTAGCTAGTCTCTTTTGTTAGGTATTATTTGTACACTTGGTTGTAAGTGAAAAATTAGGGGCAATATGTATTAGTCAAACTCCTTTTGTACTCAGCAATACCAATATCATCAACAATTAGGTAGTTGAAAGATTTTTAATAAATGTTTTGGTAATTTTAGTGTTTAAAAACTAGTTTTTTGTGTTGAACTACCTTTTGTGCATACTCAATTAAATTAAAGTATCTGATGTAAACTAATTTTCTTTATACCATAGGTGGTACAGATCTTTCGGATTATTTTGATCTTGCTATTATTCTTTTGATATTCATCTTGCAGTGTGTTGGATTGTATTGTGGATGGTGACACACCCAGCGTGTGAGGCAATTTGGTGCATTAGAAATTGTACATAAATAAGCTACACTTGCATAGTTCTTTCAACATGCCATTTATATTTCTAGTAACTAAAGATGATACATATTACTAAAAAGTTTAGAAGGAAAGGGAAAGAAGGTGTTGTGAATTTCAATGTAGTTTACTAAACTATTTTGATTGCTATGATTAAAAGAGTTGTCATATTTAGCGTCATTATTGGTCTCAATATTGGAAGCAATTAGATGTGTAGAAAACTAGTGAAAGTTCCAAATAGAGATCACAATCTTAATGGAATACCACAGGTTTAATTCTTTTATAGATGATAATTTATATAATGAAGGATAGTTATGTTACATGTCTATTGAGATTACTTAGGTAAATACCACAAAGCTAGTTTGTGGATAGTAAAATTTTACTTTAGTTCAAATAAATATATTTAAAGGCTTGATAGGCACATTTGTTTTCATAGAATAAAATAAAAATGTATTCCATTCTAAGTATATCAAATTGTAGAATTTAAATGACTTCAATTTAAAATAAGATTTAGAAATGATATTTTCTTAGGGCTTTTTTGTTTTATATTTTGAATTATATCAAACTATAAAATAAAAGTTATTAGATAAAGAGGGTTCAACATTATGAGCTTACCGTGAGAAAAGGTACTATGAATTTTATCCTTTTTTTAGGTGAAAAGGATGGATTTATCCCTTTACTTTTATTGATTATTGAAATAAAATCTTAAATTACTTAATAAAATAAATCAACACTTCTACTTTTTAAGTTGAATGAAATT